AATACAAGCGTTACATCCGCGCGTCTAGAACTGTAAAGTCGCTGTTAGAACGCACGCGTTTGCAGTGTTCAACGATTGAAGAAACTTTTTTCCCATTTCTCGAGAGAACTATCAGGTTGCGCCCTCGTGACGAGTAAAATACAATGTAAGAAAAAAAATTTTTTTCACTTTGAAATTCAAGGTGGGGATCAATTTTTGCGGCAATTTTCTTTACACGGATATTTCGATCAAATCGAAGGTATATAGAATATCGTCTGTGACAAACTTTTCTTTCCACCACCCAGTTCTGATAAATCAGAACAGTTGGTCAAGAAATTATAGTGCAAGTCAAGTAGTTGAGTCAACAGAGATGTACTTTGCTTTTCTTGAAAAAGTAACAATTGTCAAAGTAAAGTGTCAGAAATCAAGTGCGTGAGTAGTATCTTGCAAGCAACCAGGAAATCCAAGTTTCTAGAACTTTGAATCATCCCTGGGATCATTTTTGCACGTTTTACGAAAGGAAAAAAAGAAAAAAAAGAAAAAAAAATAGCGATAAAAGTCACGCGTATGTGACAATGCGTCTGGCGAGAAGACGATCGACTTACCAGCCAGGCACGTGTGCCGACGAAACTGCAGGAAACCGTGCGTGCATCCGCACAGGCCGTGCAAGCAGCCGCTGTTGGCTACTTTCAGGGTGCATTGCTCGTCGACCAGGCACTGCTCGCCCAACAGAGTCGCTGCGCGTGGTGAATCGCGAGGTGGCAAGAGAAAGGAAACAACGCTCGTCGTTACAAGGCTTGTATTCTCGCGAGGGGACGGGACGACGCTGCTGCTGCTAATCGCAAGAGATTCTCACCCTCGAGGCAGTGGGTACGATTGTAGGCGGCAAAGTATGGCAGACAGCGGCAGTGGCCGCGGTCGCAGTGACTACCCTCGATCCTCCACTGGCATTCCGCGTCTTTGCTACACCGCTCGCCTAGCGTCCTCCTTTCCGTCCAGCTACCACCAGTCGTCCCCTGAAACCACCCCCATCCATCCTTTCGAATCTCGACGTTGCGTTGCGTTGCGTTCCCTACTCTCCGAGTGCCAAGCGCGCCCCTCTACCCTCCTCTTTCCTGTTCCCCCTCTCCCATCGATCACGCCTTTTTCCACGAGTTTCTCATCTCATCGCGCGAACAATAAGCGCTCGGTCACGGTAATAAGAAACGCGGAAGCGCCAGAATGAATGCACAATGTCAGAAAAAGAGTACGCGTCCGCAGTGTAAACACTGTGCGGCCGCACCGATTTTTGGGCCCTTTTGAACGTACGTCTCGCGCTATCTTCATAATAGCGCAAAAACTAGCGAATCATCAAGTAAAAGTGTCTAGAGTTTATTGCGTTGCGGTACGAAGCAATAAATTTCATCGTTTTACACGGGCAATCTTTTAACCATGTCAAAATTAACATTTTGTCCCAACTACTTTTAGTATTTGTTATTGTTTGCGTTTCAATAATATGGAATAATAATAATTTATACAATTACTGTACAGTAATATCAAGTACCGATGAATTTAACTTTTACTTACTTTAACGTTATTATCTTGACAACTTTAAGTACTTTACTGCGTCTTCTGACGAGAACAAGTGAGCTGATGTCAACAGCCGGACAAAAATGATCGATGTGCCCCACGATAGGACAAACGTAGCGGTACGCATGCTAAATTAAAATGTAATCGATATACGACTTGTTTGGAAACAAATTTTTTAAAAAAATCTGTCTCTTTGTGTGTAGAAAAGAAAAAACATTTTTGGCATATTTCCAAATATTAGGTTGTTAATTGAAGGATTAGTTAATTGGGATGATTAGCATATCCCTATATAATAACCTTGGAAAACTTTGAAATTGAAGATCAAGGTTGATTTAATAATATTCGTAATATTCACGCAGGCGACGTGACGAAAGAAAGAAAGAAAGAAAGAAAAGAAGAGGAAGATAATAGACGAGCGAAGAAGATGAATCGATGGGACATTTGCGTCTCGAGGTGTGCAACGCAGTTGTCGCGTGACATGCACCGTTAGTCAGATGTTGCTCGCCAGCAAAAGGTTTCTTCTCTGAGGAAACGTTTCTACAGCTAGCCGCGAGAAACAAGCGCGTCTTTTCGTTTCCGCCTTGCTGCCCTTCTCTCATCTCATCTCTTCTCTTCTCGCCGCATTTTTGCGATCGTTCGGAGCGTCGAAACGACGAAACTCACCAAACGGTCGATCGTGATGGCCAACAGAAGAAGAACAGCAACCACCGTCGCTTCGCCGTCTTTTCCGCGCCGCATCGTCTTCTTCCTTTCCTTTTCCTCGATCTCTCGGCGCTGGACGTTGGCCCTTTCTCCTCTCCCTCGCGGCTCGAATCGCGCGCGATACGATCGTATCTCGATCACACAGGGATATATCCTTTGACGCGCGACTGCTGC